CACCCCCACATCACCACAACCAAGCCAGTTCTCAGAGATAGTCCTCCAACAGCAATGTTCACACATATGAACTGACCTAATGCCTGAGTCTCCCATTCAATATGCTTTCAGGTTATTAAGTGGTCCTTCCCATGTTCCTTTGTATCCTCAAATCTTTGTGTACTTGATATACCAACCTGAACACACACACACACACACACACACACACACACACACACACACACACAATTTCTATGATTTTGAATATTGAACAGACTCAGGCCAGGGATCTTTTCACACCACACAATTAAAGTGCAGTCTCCCATCCAAGTACTAACCAGAGCTGACCCTGCTTAAATGGGATCTAGTGCCTTTAGGGAGGAATATTTTTAAACTGAGGCTGTTGTACTTTGGACATACTATGAGATGAGGTGATTCAGTGGAAAAGATGCTCATGCTGCGAAGCTGTATGAAAACAAGGAGACTGCATTGCAGGTGGATTGGTTCAGTTAAGAATGTCATAGCCCTGAATTTGCAAGACATGAGCAGGACAGCTGATGGCCGGAGCTCTTGGTTTCTCATTCGTAGAGTCGCCATAAGTTGAAGTTGACTTAATGGCAAATAACAAATTTAGAATCCTCAGCCAGAGAGTTCTAGTGCCTCCCTAAACTACAAATCTCAGGATTCCATAGGATGCAACCAAGGCAATTGAAGGAGAACCATGTTGCTATAACTGTGTAGTGTAGGTTTGAAGGACTCAGTGTAGAGCACCTTGCTGTTGTGTGCCTTCAAGTCATTATGGACTTATGGTGACCCTAACTCCCCAGCGTCATGGGTGCTGTCTTGCCCAGTTCATCATGTCTTCTTTTTGGACCCACACTACATCCTAATTACTCATTCATATGGTTATCTACTCACCTTGGCTTTAGGCAACATCCTTCTTGCCTAAAGAAGGATGGAGGGTGGTATGGGGATATTTTATGTATTATGTATGTGTTTTTACTGTTGTGAGCCGCCCCGATTGGTTTCAAAGGTGCGGGATATAAATACATTTTATTTTTATTATTATTTCCCCTTGTCCCCCAATGAACATCAACCCCATCATTAGAACTGAACTTGTCCCTTCAGTCTCCACACACACAAGGTTTTTGCATTCCTATGGACATTAAATACACAGACTACTATGCAGGTCTGTCCCTGGACTTTCCACTCCACCCCATGTATCTGAAGAAATAGGCTCAAATCTAGGAAAGCTCATTCTACCATACTTCTCTCTTTCAGTTAGTCTCAAAGGTGCTGCAAGATCTCTTGGCATACTAAGTGGAACCAGTCACAGGATTTTCTTGGCCATGTTTGCCCTTGCCTTCCTGTGACTTGTTCAAGGTTACCCAGTGGGTTTCCATTCATGGTCTAGTGGGGATTTGAACCCTGGTCTCCAGAGTCATTGTCCAACATCGGGGATGTGGCTCTTCTTCTCTATTGCTCGCTGGGTCGCACCATGTCCTTGGGGTAAACACAAGGGGCTTGGCCAGGGTGACAAGATGTCTTCCTTTTCCAGGACATGTCCTACATTTCAACCTTCTGTCCAGGAGGAATTCCAAAGTGTCCTACATTTTGAGCATAACTAAAAAGCCCACTGAGTAGCACCCCCTTTGAGAAATTTGTCTACTTGACAACCTGTCCTTGCTGCAAATAGTGGGACAGGATGGATTAATGGAGATTTCAATCTAAGGGTTTGTGTCTAGTAAAATACAATTTTACACATTTGTCATTCTCAGCGTTCTATACGTATATTGCAAGCCAACAAGTCATTTTAATGAACATAAATTAATCAGAAACATATAGTTGAGTACAAGAAAATTAATTCCTTTGAGATGTGGCACCAGAAGAGAGTGCTGCGGATACTGTGGACAGCCATAAAGACAAACAAATGGGTCCTTGAACAAATCAAGCCTGAACTCTCCCTGGAAGCCAAGGTGACTAAACTGGGGCTGTCGTACTTTGGCCACATCATGAGAAGGCATGATTCATAAGAAAAAATGCTAATGTTAGGGAAGGTTGAAGGCAGCAGAAAGAGAGGAAGACCACATCCCAGATGGATAGACTCAATGAGAGAGACTATGGGCCTGAGCATACAGAACCGAAGCAGAGCAGTAGAGGATAGGGAGTCTTGGAGATGTCCCATTCACAGGGTTGCCATGAGTCAAGCTTGACTTGAACAGCTAACAGCAACAGACACAATAAAATACAGTATATGTAATTTTGTTCAACTTGTATATCATGAGAAGGGTCACATCGTGAGAAGGCACAACTCACTGGGAAAAAACAATAATGCTAGGAATGGTGGAGGGATGTAGAAAGAGAGGAAGACTGCATGCTAGATGGATGGACTCTATAAAGGAGGTCATGGTGTCTTTGGTCAGGTCCTCCACTTATATTTCATTGTCACTTGTCTTTGGTCAGGTCCTCCATTTGTTTTCCTGGAAGATCCTCCATCAATATTTCTTTAGGGGGGGTTGCAGACTGCCAGAAATAGTGCAAATTGAGTCCA